TTCGCATTGAATTACGAATTCGCTACGAATTCGCAAAACAATGGTAAAATGCGAATTGTTGCATCATTTTTACGCCCAAAAATTGCGATTCGTCAATTCGTCTTTAGACACTTTGTCCACACTAATGGTTTATGACTAAGCTAGCACGCGAAGACAGATTTCGAAGTCGAATATTTGGATTAGGTCTCTTTTATGATGAGTTATACCGAGTAAGCTGGTCATTCTTCTTTTAGAAGAAGTACCCAACTAAGAAAGTCTGCGTAAACTACGATTTCTGTTCTACACCACCTACTCGTTGCCTCCACGTGAAACTACCATAACATAACAGCTGCATATATTTCCCATCAACACTTGAAGACGTTGAGAAAAGAAAAAAGTCAAATTAGGTGTTCTTAGTAAATATAAAGACAAATTAGATCACCATTCCTACTCATAGTTGATTGAGAATAAAAATCCACAAGAATGAAAACAATAATAGCGGCCGTTATTCTCCTAGCATCATGGACTTGTATTGGTAAGTAGTGTACCATAGTTAGCAGTACAGTGTCACGTTACCTTACCAAGTTAAGTCGAAATCTACGAAAAAGGCCTATGTTGAACAATACGGCAATATCTAAATTATTTTTATGGGAAATTTATAACTAGAGATAAGATTATTCTGTCGTAGTAAAGGTTGATACAACAAGCAAGATATAGAATTACGTTATCAAAAGTGCCCTTCTCTCAACTATTGACCGTGAAATTTTTAAAAACTTCGCTTCTAGCATAATCAATCTTTCAATCTGAATAATCTTTGCTGCCTTCTATGTGTAGAGTAAGTTCTGGACACCAACTGAAGCAGCTCTCGTGGAAAACATCGCGGATATTCTTGTAACAAATACGTCTTGCTGAGAAAAACCCGTATTCCCAAGAGTAAAATTTGAGATGTACAGATAGGTTTATATGAAAGAAAGGAAGGAAAAAGAATACCCCGCCTTGTAGCTACCGTTACCGGTGTAGGGTGCTACTGTGGTAGTTTCAATAGCCCGATATCTTCCTTGCAGTTGACAACTTCTGAAATGGTCACCCATCTCGTTACTGGTCATTAATTGCAGCTTTGGTCAGACGGCAAGCATGACGTAGAGTTCTTGCGTCCAATTATCTGAGCGCACCATACACATGTTACTAACCAAGTACTAGCTTTCCGAAAAGTCACGAGGACTAGTCGGAGAAGCTGTATTGTACATACTAACGTAGTGAGTATGCTGTCAGCCGGGTGATCCGAGGCACTAAGACATAAATAACTTATCCAAGGTTATTACATAACTTTTGCTAGCGCCGAGATTCGAACACAGTATCTTTGGAGTACGTGACGAACTACATAACCATCAAGCCATGCTGCCAATGAAGGAGGAGATGAATGCGTTGTCTTCAGGATTACTGTTAAGAGAGTTCTAAAAGTTTTCTTAATGTAGGAGACAATTAGTCTTGCGTGAGTTATGTGCTAGTGTGCAATGAGTATGAACTCTTTGTTGTAATTCCACTTTATCCCAGAAGATTCAGACAAAATGCTGTATTTGCTTTCAGCAAGTGCCTGTCGTATGACTCATGCAAGTGCGTTAAGTTCAATAAAAGCATCTGGTATTGGTATATCATCCAGTGGTGGCTGTAGTAATCGTAATAATCCCAAATGTACATCATTAGAGCAAGTAACATGTGTTACACTTAATTGTGTTAAAGTTTTAAAAAAAGCAAGTGGTTGTCCAATAACAATCACAGGAGGAACAGAAACTGGTCATGCTGGTGGTACTTATTCACATTCAACTGGTTATAAACTAGATTTATCATTGAATACATGTTTAAATAATTATGTAACAAAAACATTTACCCGTATTGCTAACCGTGGTGATGGTTCTGCGCAATACAGAGCCGGTAGTGGAAATATTTACGCCAAAGAAGGAAATCACTGGGATATCACATACAATAAAGCTTGTTAAATAAGAGTTTTAGTGTAAAGGCTTGTAAACATTTGATTCATAAATACATGTTATATATTTAGAAAAAGAGCAATAAATTTCAAGCGGAGAAAAGAGTTTTGACTCTTTGTGTGCGATCGCTCGAAGTCATTATCAGACAAAATGTTTTGGCGTGCGCTGCACAAAGTACGATAAATTTGATTCTAATTTGAGTAGTTCGTCAGAATTAAATAATTTTCATAGAGCAGAGAATATGCCATTATATAATGTATGCGTATAAAAATCAAAATCTTATCTGTTAAAAACTAAATTTGTACATTCCTCCTCGAACGCACAACAATTTTAATGTTCAAATATCTGTTTTTGTCTTTTTCTGAGAGTGACGCGGTTTTTTCAATTTTTTCATAGTTTCTTAAAAAAATTAATGGTTTTTCGAAAAAGAGATCCTTCAAGTTTTTTGTATTTGTCTCACTGATAATATGCACTGAGAAAGTAAAAGTCAGATATTCTTGATCAGCGTGAAATTCTCTATCGAATGATATATGATTAAGTTAAAAATAAAATAGTGCTGTAACTTCGAATTTGCAGCACCTTACGTATATAGAAAACGTGTGCTACAGGTTTTTTTATTTTTCGGCAGTAACTGTATATACAATAAAACTTGGAACGTTCCTTTATCCAACAAAAAGCAACCTTGAAGGTTAGTTAAGAAATGACGAAGATATTCAAGACTTTTTTTGGTGTGGACTCCCGAAACCCTGTATAGTATTTTTACTTCGCTTATTATCTATTAAAACTAACAACGAAATGCTCAACTAAGAAAATCTGCGTAAACTACGATTTCTGTTCTACATCACATACTCGTTGCCTCCACGTGAAACTGCCATAACATAACAGCTGCATATATTTCTCATCAACGCTTGAAGACGTTGAGAAAAGAAAAAAATCAAAGTAGGTGTGCTTAGTAAATATAAAGACAAATTACATTACCATTCCTACTCATAGTTGATCTACAAGAATGGAAAAAAGGATGGTTGGTCGTTAAGATATTTTAGATTTTAATTTTATTTTAGAGATATGAATAGTGAGAGATTATAAAGATTTGAAAAAACCGCGTCACTCTCAGAAAAAGACAAAAACAGATATTTGAACATTAAAATTGTTGTGCGTTCGAGGAGGAACGTACAGATTTAGTTTTTAACAGATAAGATTTTTACTTTTATACGCATACATTATATAATGGCATAGTCTCTGCTCTATGAAAATTATTTAATTCTGACGAACTACTCAAATTAGAATCAAATTTATCAGATGTGAGATGTTTGCCCTGTAAAGCATAGTGTAGATTTGCATTTCAGAGTGTACTCTATGCACTTTGCTCTTGGAGCCAGAATAGAGCTAAATTTGAAAAGTAGCCGGCTTTATTTACAGGGTGTCTTCGTCAATAGAGGCGCTGCCTTCTCGTAAAACTGTTTGCTGTTGAGGCCTGAATACGCTCTTTGCCCTAAAAACCATATTCTACACAGAAAGATAGGAATCTATGCTGGAATTCATGCAGTTTCAACTGTAAAATTAGTGAGCTCCGAGAACAAAGATCTTATATCTGTCACCGCTGAGTATTTTGCAGACGTGTCTTCGGTTTAATAAGAGTGCAAAATTCAGCAAAGCTTTGAACTGTTCAAACTTCACACAAATGTCCCTCTACGCAGACTACAACTATGAATGAGTGCGGTGTAGGATCATTGTTTGTAGATCTCAATATAGGTTTTCCTCAAACTCTGGCTTTAAGTATAAAATCTATCTTCCTTTGCTAAAAATATCGTTTTTTAAATCCAAATCAATCACATATTTGGAATCTGAGCACCAAATAATGCATAGCTTTTAAAAGAACTGTTTCTTCAAAAAATTCATGTAGAGTTTCCCTTAGCCAATTTTAACCATAAAAATTTAAATTATACCGGGTATTCCAAAATATTTGCGACATGTCTTATTTTGCATATATTTCAGTACAGAAAAATTGTAAAATCTTCAATTTTTTTTTTAAAATATGCGCAATTCAATTCTCTACAAACTTCTGTTTATCTCGATTTAAAATAATAAAACTGAACGTTTTTATAGGTCACATTTTTTTACTAATCTATTTTCTATAGAATAAATATTTAGTATCTGTGTCAAAATAAAGTGGACTCGGATGGTTTTTTTTTGCTTTTTTTTAAGGGCCCCTCTCAAAAATTATCTCCGACACCAAACAACCGATCTTGTCGAAACTTTCCATAAATGTTAGACACAATGACTTATGAGAATGAAAAAAGTTTTTGTCTCCACGTCTTACGGTTTAGAAGTTTTCTAGAGATCAAGCTCCAAAAAGGACCATGAAGTGTGTCCCAAGATTTTTTCAGGAAGCTAAAATGAATCGGTATTCAGTGATAATATTAAAACAAATTTTCACTTTTTCTTAATTTTCTTAAAGTCCTTGTATGGTTTTTGATGGTGAATCATCAATTGGTGAAAAGATTAATATTTCTTTCGACAGTGATTATTCAATTTCTATGTGGTTATCAATACCGGAACCTAGTGACGATCAGATATTTGCATCACCACATGTGATATTTTCATTAGAACATCAGCTATCAGGATGTTAAGAAGATTATTCTATTGCAGTAAGTGGTTATATGTTTACCACAGGTCATGCAGAACCAATTCAACCAAATGTTTAGCATGATTTATGTGTAATTAAGTCGTCAAAAAAAAATTCCACCTATATATTAATGGGTAATATTTGGAAAAAGAATGGGCTATTAAAGAAGCACAACAATTCCTAACAGGATCACTGCTGTTGTAAATTGGCTGTAATCATAATTATACATTTTTCGATAGAAAAATAGCTGATTTTTCAGTTTGGTCTCGCCAACTAAGATCATTCGAGGTTCAGGCCATGTATCAACAAAAAAACACATTTGATAAGACTGATATTATAAAATATATTTTAGAATGAAACCGTCAGCCTGGAAATGAGAGTCTTGTTTGGTCTTGAGTTAATAGTCTAAGCATTATTTGTTCTAATCGGTGCTAGCAATACAACAATGTCTGATGTGATGGAAACCATCAATTTCTTCTAAAAAGTAACAAAATTTTTGAAAAACTTCCAAAAAAGTGGAAGTGACCTTCTATTCTTTCCACCACATCATAAGTTTCAGAGTAACCCCCTATCAGGAATAGATTATTGCTGAGGATGATCTTCTATTTTATCCCGGGGGTTTTCGTTAATTCGATGGCTAATATAAACCGTAGACAGCTGCAGAGGTTCTAAGTTTAACATGACGTTTTTATTTTGCGTTCTCGATTTATCATGTATAGAAGTGGTCGTTTCCAAGTATTCGTCGGGTCCTTCGCAACATCTGACGTCGGAATTCTATTTTGTTGTGCTTTGTGTGTTTTCTCTTCAGCGGTTCTCGTGTTGGATTTATACGATTCTATCGAAATCCGAATTTTCAAGTGAAGGACCTGCGAATGAATACATTCGGCTTACTTGTCACCCTTATACTCTTCTGTTGAACTATTTTTATGTGCTTAATAGTATCAACGGTATTTCAGGAGTATTTCCTATCGGTTAACTTTTAAAGTGATCCTACTTTTAGGTATGCACCAAACCGATAGTTCGGTGACCGAGCATGTTCGATCACCAAACCGTTCGCAACCGAACATGTTCGGTCACCAAACGGTTTGTTACCGAACATGTTCGGTTTAGAATGGTTCGCTACTGAACATGTTCGCTGCCGATCAGCGAGCCATCGCTTGGGATGGTTGCATGCCTGATCTGGACTAAAGGCAAATTGAATGAAATTGAAGCTTTTGAAGGAAGTAACCAGTGAGAAAATAG